GCTGAGCCGGATTCACTGACCTCAGGTGATCTTTACTGTTTCACTGTGTTGAATTAGTTGAGTCACAAAACGGGTGCATACTTATGAAACCATTTATTTTTAAGTTTTAATTAAATGACATTACTTTACAGGAATGTGTTTTCAGTTTCACACTGAAGAGTCTTTGTTGGTAAATTCTGTCAGAAATCTCATTAAACTGTTTGTAGCTCAACATTGAAAAGCAATAAAACGAGAAAACCAAACGCTAAGGCAGGTGAATACGTTCTATCAGCTAACGTTTAGCGTTCTCTCCTCCATAGTTTGTGTTTTGTTCTCTCCGCAGGTTTTTCTGTCTCTGGAGTTTTGGGATCTACAGTTGGCAGCCTGCCTGGTTGGTATTGTTCTCTGGTTTGTTGTCTGTTTCTCTCTGCTCGTCTTTTGTCTTCCTCTTCACCCAAACCGGTGTCGGTAGATGTCTGGCCTCCCTAACCTGGTTCTGCTGGAGGTTTCTTCCTCGTCTTGTTTCTCTCCAGTGAGGGAATCTTTCACTTTCTTTCCATGACTTTTAAATGAGTCAGATGGATTCGTAATGCTAATCTTACATCTCTGAATTTGTCTAAAATGATTGTTTTAAATGTGTAAATAGGGATCTAGGACAGTTTTTTTTTTTAGTTCTGAATCACACTGTTTTTAATGTTTATTAAAGCAGAATTAAATACATTAGTAACAATTGAACAGGGCAGAATAATCTCCCATAACCTCCTGCCGTCCTACCCGGACATTAAAGAAGCTGCAATCAGAGAATTTTGACTTTTTTTCCTCATTAAAAAACTGATCCACTGATTATCAAAGCAGTTGCAGATTAATTTCATAGTTTCCAATAACTGTAATTTGGGTGAACTGACCCTTTAACAAATACATTTCCTATATAAAATGTCCTGACCTGAGAACATACAGAAACAACCCACTCATGTTTTAAAGGTGTGACGTTCACCTGTAATCTTGTCTGTATTTTCAGGTGGTTTATTCTGGAGTCGCTAAGCTCTGGTCTGGCTGAGCCCCTCAGCAGCCGGTACTTCCCAGTGCTCTCTGACATGACCACACAGCAGACTTGTAAACACAGGACTTCCAGGTCTGGGCTGGTTCCCGGCCGGCGATTATATAAGTCTGTACACCTAGATAGAGTCTTGACTCCAATCCAAGGAACAAGCTGCTCCGGTTAATGTTTGGAGCGTATGTTTGTATATGTGTCCTGCAGGTTCCTGCTCCAACATCTAGCGTTACTGCATGAATAGGACGCCGCTGCTGCTGAGAACGCTCTGCGATCCTGACGGGACGTGTTGGAGGCTGGAACCGGCTCCAGGCCATGTATGGCTGACATGTGTGGTATGTGTCCTTCAACATACAAATCTCCCTCATCAGAGGTCACAACCTCAGCGCTGAAACGTGTTGTCAGCACAGATGTTTGACTGTCAGACCACTTCATTTAAGGATTATTTTGGCCAGAGGAGGCGAACTGGTTTGAAGAAAAGCTGTTTTTACTCCTTCAATCATTGTAGACGAATCTCTTGTCCACAAAACAGACTGTCAGGAAGGAGAAACAACATTCACATTTAAAATGACAGAAATCAGAATATAGCAGCTAATTACCAACTAACTGTCCCAGCTCTACTGGCCCATTTTGCGGGTGAATAGTACCAGCCTGTTTCTCCTTAAACATAAGAGATGTACATAAAGTTTTAACTTTATATGAGACTAAATATGCTACAAAATGTATGAGTTCATTCTGCATCAGATTCACTCCACCACAGTAAATACACAGAACAAAAACATGTTCTTACAGTTTTTTATTGGCATTTGACTTTAGATGAACAAGTAGTCAAACTACTCTTTAAAAACAGGTCTGAAAACACATCACGAGTTACAGGAACATGAACTGGACGGATTCCAACCGGTGCAAATAAAAAACCGTTAAAGTAAAAAAACAGACGTTGGTGTGAACATTTTTTAGCTGCTGTTCAAACAGGTTTATTACAATGTGCAGATGGGATCATGCTTCCCTTTTACCACTGTAGTGCATTAAATGATGGTGGTGTGATGCAGAGAACATAAAACACAGGTGGAGTGACAGACAAAAGCCTCGTCTGAGTGTTTGAGTGAAATGGAGGGTACGAGCTACTGGGCTGCTAACAGATAAGACACCACGGTCAGCGCGGCGGCCTCGATGGAGAACAGGTGGTGGTCCTCCACATGTGGGCAGCTGCTCCTCATGAACTCGGCCAGCCGCAGCAGGTACTCCAGGTTGTGGCCCGTCTTCCCTCGGCTCACGGCGATCTGGGCGCCGATCTCCTCCGGGCTGGCCGGCCCCAGGTACAGGGCGTTGTCAGAGGTGGCGATGTACACCAGCGCCTGAACCGGAGACTGGTCCTCCCCCTCTGGGAAGAAATCCACCATCTTGGTGATGTAGCCGCCGCGGACCGTCTCGCGAACGTTGAGGTACTTCAGGGACTCCTCCATCTGTGAGCCTGAGACCTCGAACGCTACGCCCCAGGTGCTCTCCTGTGGGAAGAACAAAGCAGCGTTTAGTCAGGAAGTTTCCTCCTGTCTGAAAAAAGTCAGTAACTACGCAGTCATTCAGGTCATGATGAGTGCTTCAGTAGAAGGCAATCTGAACCAGGGCTGCACGGGACTGGAAAAGATATTCTGTGTCTGCAACACTTCAAATATCCTAAATAACCATTTATGGTGCCTTTGTGGCACTTAAAACAGTCCAATTAGCTTTTCTCATATTTTTCTTGGATCAAATCAGCACAAACATGCAGCATGACACGTTTGAGTTAATTTGTCCTCCTACACGTCCCACTGTGGATGAGAAATGCTCTGTTCTGCAGCCTTAGCTGGACCTCTCCTGTGGTTCTTGAGGACGTTTTACTTCATTCTCAGTGTAATAATAGTGGGAAGAGTCCCGGGTATTCACTCACATGCCTGAAGGTTTTTACAGTTGACATTTGGTGCTAGAGCCATTACAACCAGTCACACCTCGGGGCATGGGAGCTGTCATTTACAAGACCATGATTGGTGTGATTGGGGGGGTGGGGATGAACACCTGGGATTCCTCACTACGCACAGAAGAACTGAAATGTCTGTAAAACAGCCGCCTTCTACTGAAGCTCTTAGAAAACCAGTGTGGCAAGCAGTTTAACAGCCAAGTTGAACTATTAGGAATTACTACTCTAGATAACGTCATTTTGACTAGTCAGAATTATCAGTGAGGACTTGGAGAACGAGAGCTTTCTGCAGAGACCTGTGGTGGAGGTTTACTGGAATTTCCACCCAGGCTGCACTGACGTGGTTTGAAAAGGAAACCGCCTCCGACTTCCTGTAGCTTCTGACATCAGTACACATATCTGCAACGTCATGTCACGGAGTCAAAACACTGATTCAGTGTAGCTGCGATTTTATTTTGTCGGGCATATTTTACTTTGAGATCTGATTTTGCTCAGTTCAAATTAAAACTTAGTTTAACATTTAAAAAGGGACAATGTAGACGTCTTATAATGAAGGGGGGTTATTTGATTTCTTTAACTAGTCAGAATTTATTGTGTTGGATCTTGAGATGTAGTCCAGCTGTTTGTTGTTAAATCCGCTTGCCATCAACACTCATGACCCGGAAACTCCGCTACCATCTGTGAACCAATAGGAAGCTGAGATTTCCACTTACGTCATCGTCTTCGATCAGCGTCACCACTCTTCCGGGCTGCGGGGAGGAAGAGAAACGGGTCATGGAGGACGCCTCATACGGTCTGAGCTCAACACTTACGGTCACAAAACACACAAACAAATGTGCCTGGGTAAACAAAACAAAAAAAAACAACAACATCCGTCATCTTACCAACTCGTCGTTCCCGCGGTGGAAGTTGTCTCCGTGCCAGAAGCGCCTCTTGTAGCCCTGAATGTAACCGACCTGGCTCCTCTTGTACCTGAAGTCCGGCTTCCACACCAGCGACCCGTACCCGAAGATCCACAGGCTGCTCTTCCCGGCGGTGATGTCTTGAGGCTTCATGTTGACGTTCAGATGAATCGATGGATCTCTAGTCTGCTTCGCTAGCTTGTGGGACTAACTAGCTACTAGCGTTAGCTTCCTCCGGTCCAGCAGAAGCGGTACCGGCTGGCTCGTAGGTATACCGCGGACGGTATTTGAGCCCAACTGCTTGGCAGTTGCGAAGATGGAATCACGCGGTTGGTTTTGCCGTGCACGATGCATTGCCGCTGCATTAGAGGTGCCGCATTATGCCTTAAAAATCCATGGCCGCCGCGAGGCCTTCAGGTCGACGAGGAAAAAATGAAAAAACGGTTTCGGCCAGCTGCTTCGCCGGCCGATGACAGCGTGAAGCTAAAGATGACTTAAATAAATAAGTGAAGATCGAGGTTTTGAAAGATGTTACCGTTAAAACACGCCGCGGATGCTCTGCTCGCCGCTGAAAGGCACCGCTGCTCTGACGCGTTTCCTCGATAACATGGCGAACCGCAGCTTCTGCCTTTATACAGTAGACGGGAGGTGGGCGGGGCCCTTCCAGCGGGTTCCACCAATGATGTTTAAAGAAAACTCGATTCGCCCAATCAGAGTTTGGTGCGCCAAATAGGGAGAGACCCAAAGCAAAAGTCGTTACCCAATTGGTCTAAACTTGCAATTCCCTGTCCAGCCATGTGCCAACATGATTGGCCGAGGAGCTGTCACTCAAAGTAACTCGAGTTCTGATTGGTCACCTGCCTTGTCAATCTTCCTGTTATGGTTCAGGATTAATCCGGCTGATGCAACATCCAACAGCGTTTCAGGGCAACAGCAGCAGCCAAGCAACACACCAAGACATTGCATCAGATTTTATAAATCAGATATGGCCACACAGGAGCCTCATAACACAGCTCAGGACGGCAGTTTGGTGTTTTTGTGTTTTCATGTTTTAGATTTGTGATTGTTGTTTTTATGATGTTTATGAAATAGACAGCTCTGAGCTTGAGAAGTGCTATCGAAATTAAATTACTATTATTATTATTATTAGCACAATCAAGTCAGGTCAGCTTTATATATTTATATATATATATATATATATATATATATATATATATATATAGCCCCTTTAAAATGACAACCGCTGAGCCAAAGCACTTTCTAATATAGAAATAAGACTAGTGTTGCAGATTTATTAAACGATATTATAGTAATATTACTGTTAAGACACTACAGCGTTATATATAACACAAATTAGCCTGAGTAATGTAAATGTTAAGGCTGAGAACACCACAATATTATGCATGGAATTATTGCATCATGTGTCACCAAACAAATAATAAATCAACCAAGTCAACAAAAGTATTTCTGTCTGGGTGGATGTGACCCGACACAGGACCATCAGCCTGGCAGTGTGAGCCAGTTATCTCCCTACATGGATGTTCAAATCAGCCGGAGCATGTGAGAACTGTAACGGAGTCCTACAACTCAAACAGAAACAGAAAATTCACTGACGAGGGAAGAACCCTGACCTCACCTCTGGAACCAGGAACAACACCTAAATAAAGACATGCAGGAGTTTTTGTTTTCAAATTCTCTGTAGTCATAATTAGAGTTTTGGTCACTGTGACATGTCACCTGTGACATTCCTGCAGAATTAATCCACTCACACGTTTCTTGATGTGCACTGTGATGCACAAACATCCGACCTCTGCAGCCAAATGCAGCGACATGGGAGGGAATAGTTGATGCCTGGTTTCTAAAAAGTCAGACATTTGAAAAAAGTGAACTGAATCAAAAGTTTCATATCTTTGACCACAATGCAGTTGCTTATGGGGCAAAGAGACGGTGAGAAGGATGTGATCAAATGTGTAAAAACGCCCACCACACTCGGTAGATGTGATCGTAGCAGAGGCTCATCTGTGCTCAATAAATAGATTATCTATAAATAGGCGGCATTATCTGTGTTGATAAGAGGACGGACGACTGTATCAGCTCCTCATACATGTAAAGCACCACACGTCCATGACTTTTATACCCGTATTTATATTGACATTTAACATTTTTGTATCTTTTATCTGCTTTTTTGAACTTTTCTTGATTTTGCCTTGTTGTTTTCTGGCCTTCCTTTCTGCCCTTTGCTGCCTTTGGTTTGTGTACCATGTACTTTATAAAGTGTGTTTTTAACGGTTCTATATGAATAATGAGTTGACCTGAGTGACCCTGTGTCATGCACAAGCCTTACATGTGCACCCACTTCTCCAGCCCACTGCTGCAGGATCTCAGTGCTGCTCTCAGACTCCACCGACTCCCACTGCTTCCATGTTTTCACCTCATCCAATATTCATTTTGTCTTTGCAGATCATCCAAACTCTGGACTGAACTGCTAACTTATGCTGCAGCTTGTGCAACATTAGCCATGTTTTGACCTATTTTTTTTTTTCTTGACATCTTCAGTTAATATTTGCGCAGACAAACAGATTCTTGGCTGTCCTCCCTCCTGCAGCAGCAGCGTCGGTTCTCTGCTTGTGTTTTTGAACACGACGTAAACATGCCTTTGTGGGTCAGGAGCTCGAGGCCGGGTCAGTGGGACGGGTCAGCTGGATCTAAAAGTAGATCCTGCAGAACAGGAACGCGCTGGTAAGGCCAAACAAGTTTGTTTTAAAAAAATATATGTGAGATGCTTCCAGAATGATTGTGTGCGGAGGTGGGTTTAAGCATCGCAGGTGAAAACGGGCCGGTTTCATGCAGGTGTGCAGGTTTATTACTGACACCTAGTGTTAATTAATGAGACGACTACGAGTGCAGGACAGGAGAAGGCCACACCACTTAATTAAATGCATGTCTGAGAGATAAAAGTTCTAATTTGCTGATTTAGATAAACCTTACAGGTTGCTAACTTTAATTCGATGGGTTGTGTTGATGCAATAATGCTGATAATTGAATCAACTTAATAAATTTGTGTAATTTGCGCTCAATTTTTTGCATTAGTTTATTGAAAACTACATTCAAGTTGCAGCAACTTAATGAAATTGACTTAATAACTCATTATTTTAAGTCTTCTCTTCTACCACCTGAACAGAGATTTATTTGTTTAATTTGTCAGCTTGTGTTCTTAAATATAGTAAATAAATACAGAACACTTCAAAAATGTATTTGAAATAACATGGAAATACGACTGAGAACAGCTTGACTTTTTAGGGAAATCAACTTAAGAACTTATGCTACCAATTACTAAGTTAGTGCGAATAAAAAATATCTTTAATTCCAGAGGAAAATCTAATTACCCCACTCAGTGTAGTTTGTTGGTTAAACTTGGAAGTCGTCACAACTCAAGAAGATTGATGCAAACTGCCAAAACCTTCGCTGTTAGAGTGTACTAAAGATGGAATACCAACGTTATATCTACCGGTAGAGATTCTAAAAAGCATTAATATGGAAGCCAAACATTAGATATACATGTGGATCAAGTGGCTAAAACTTGCAGCTGAGGGTCCAGGTTTCATTGCTGGGACATATTAAGCAGCATTATTGCATTAAAACTGAGCTCCTACCATCATGGATGTGGATTTCAGAGGTCAGGATGTCATCTCTCAGGGAAATATTGAGCATCAAACACTTAATTTGCTGGATTTTTGTGACATATTTGTTCATTTTCAGCATCTTTGTCTTCATTTGTGTAAAACAAACCACCTAATTCAGGTGGGTGTTGCTACTGAGGTGGACCAATGTGCAGTTCTATGTGTTGAAGGGGAGCATATCCACAGCATCCCCCTCTGGAATGGGCACCTACGATGGCAGCTGTGCAATTCAACCAGGGCTGAGACTCCTTATTGTGACTGAGGAACTTCCACATTCCTGACTTGCATAAAAAAAACAAAAACAGATTGCAATTTAAAACCTGCTTTGTTTATGACGTCAGCTCATGAATTTTCCCTTTTCCTCGCTTCGGGGTAAATAGTGCTGATTAGGGTGTCCGTCTCGCCTGTTTTGAGGTGGTTTCCTGAAAACCCGAGTCATCTTTAAGTGCAGAAACGAAGGAGGCGATGCGTGAGAAAAGCACTCGGCGTGTTCTGCATTTTTTAATCAGGGAGGAAACAGGACCTGATGTCACTGAGTCACAAACAGGATGCTGTGATTATAACACAATGAGAATGCCTGGCTGTGCTACGGACACCCAGAGGCCAGAGAGCAGAGCCAGTGTGAATGAGGGTGTGTGTCGGCTCATAGGTGTGACGGCGGTGGGAAGAAGAAACCAGGCTGGGTCAGGTACCAGAGCGAAAGCATGAGGGGGCTTTAACTGGACCATTAATCATGGCGATAGCGTGTGTGTTTTTCCCTGAGCCGAGCCGGAAGCTGCCTTTTTAATTTTTTTCTTGCTGTTTTCTGAATGCACGCTCACAGATGAGGATGCCCAGGTCAACAGGCTGCTGACAGGATGTGTGTGAGGGGAACAAACCATCCAGATTCTCCACCGAGTGTTGATTGCTGCTGATTAGCGGGTGTTGACTGTTGCAGGATTTCTGTTAATTGGAGGCAGGAGATGGTTTGATAATGCGGATGACACGCCGCTCCATGGGTGCTGTCTCTTGCAGCAATTTGTGGAGAAACAAGAAATCCAAAGGCGGAGCTTTTGGCCGTTTTTACTACTGTTAGATTTTTCCTCACTGTTGGTTCACTTTTCATAAAGTCCTGCCCCTCTTTGGAAACAGCACAACCACGACTAGAAGGAGCGAGAACTCAAACATTTCTCCTGTCAGTTAAAATGCCACAAAAACCAAAAAGCACAAGTGGCTTTATTTCATTTAATTTTTTTTTCAATTATTCATCAACCTTAGAGGCTGAAATCAGCCCCCCAAATGTCCACAGGTGTTACTAATACTGGAAAATAAAACATCCTGTAGGTATTTTACTCCTACATTTTTAATTTCCATGTTTTCCCGTCTTTTACTTTCCACACTCGTCTGCTCTGAGCAAACACTGCCTGCAGTTCAACTGAAAACTCTCTGAATTTTTGTCATGTGACTGTTTCTCGCAGTCACGTCAGCAGCAGCTTGTCACTTGTGCAAAGGGGTGCAGAATATTCTGTTTTTTACAGAATCTGGTTGGAGCAAACGCTTTATTTTTGGCATTTTTTTTCAAGTAATACATGTAGAATAAAAGGGATTAGATCTGGTTCAATGTCCTGATAGAACGGTGCTTCATACATTAGTTCATGGAGTGCTGATGTGGTTAATGGTGTCATTTTGGTGACTGAAACAGAAAACATGGCGTGCAGAGGGTTAAAGTGATTGTCAGCTATTTTGATAATCGATAAATCAGTTTGAGCAGATTTTAAGAAAAAAAAAAGGTCTAAATTCTCAGATTCCAGTTTCTTAAATGTGAATGTTTTCTGGTTTTCTTTCCTCCTCTTGTGTCAGTAAACGGAATACTTTTGGGTTGCGGACAAAAACATTTGTCATCTTGGGTTTTGGGAAACACTGACTAATACTTTTCACCATCTTTCGGTCTTTTATCGACCAAACAACTAATCATTCGTTGCAGTTTCAGCCTCGAGGGCAGGAAGATTGATCGGGCTGCTGTGACAAGTAAAGAGATCCTTTTTTCTTTATTATCATTATTATTATTTTTCCTCTCAGATCCACTGGCTCCCATCTGGTTCCGCCCTCCCCTCCGCCGACGGGTGCCAGGTTCCTCTCTGCAGCTTTGTCTGCAGGAGTGGGTGGTACAGGACCAGGCATTGAAATATTGCTCTTAACCTTGAAAAAAAAGGGGGAAATGCAGGCAGTTGGGGAGCCTGACGAGTGCCTGAGTGTATTTTTTTCTTTCTTTTTTTATGGGAGGAGGCCTGTGGGTCATGCGCGCGGGGCGAGAGGCCTGGCATATGCTGCTGTTTTTATGGCACCGCACACTCGCTCCCCCACGGCATCTGTTTGGCTGGCTGTGCGATGCGAGCATTATGAGGGGCTGGTGGTGGCGGTGGGAGGCTGGGGAGGGGGGCGTTCCCCTTTGCCCTGCGCCTGGCTTTGTTTCACCATTTCCAGCTCGAGGGGGTGGTATCCCTGGAAACGGATTTGAATTTCAAGCCAATTTAGGGCCGCCGGAGAGGAGAGAACAAGGGGCGGGCGGGCGGGCGAGCGGGGCTGCAGCCAAACAGCGTTTCCAGGAATTACTCGAGGTCGCGATGCTGCAGTCGGAGGTGGAGGCTTCACGTCTCCGCCTCCAAAACACATCACACACCGCTCGAGGCTGAATTTCATATTCGTACAAGAAGAAATCCAGCTGTGGACTGAAGAATTCTCTTCAACAAACACAACACACGCGTCGTCGTCGTTAATTAGCTTAAATAATAATCATCTCTTCCATTTAGCCACAAACAGTTTTCAATGAAGTTTTATTCTTCAGAAGTTTGGTCCTTATAAATATGCATTATATACAAAATAATATTATAAAAACATATAAAGAGCAGTGTGTCATATTTAAATTAAACTCTGGAAATAATCATTTTAAAAAATTACATTATTGGTTCTGTACTTTTTTGAAATTTATTATAGGCAGGCAGTGGTGTGACAGTCTTTTCTCCTTGTTTCGAGTCTCTTTGTGTTTCTCGGTTGGGTTGCATAAAAAAACACTTTTTTTTCTTCTTCCCACGTTTCCTTTCTCTTGGATCTTGCTGGCACTGCACTGACTGTTGCGCTCCTGTGGTTTTTTTTCTCCTCAGATCCCTGTTGATTAAAAATTTTTTCCGTTTGTTTTTGTAGTGCAAATGATCCAAGAACAGACAAGGGCACAAATTTCAAACCCCCTCTTCTTTTTTTTTTTTATCTCTCTCTCTCTTTTTTTTTTTAAGGCTTCTAGTGAATTTGGGCTGCATACAATCTCCACCCTTTGCATCGACGAGTCCACAACCGGTCGCTTTCCACGTGATTGACGGCTGAAGACTGGTTTCAGACATTCATAACTCTCAGCGTTGGTGAGGTTGGATTGTGACAGCGGGTGAGTTCACTCATCTCGACCCTGAGTCTTGCATAGCAGGCGAAGCTGGCAGGAGTGAGTGTGGGCGGGGAGAGATTTGGAGGGGTTCAAATCTTAGGCACCTTTTTTTTCTCTCTCTCTCTTTTACTGATTGGTTGGCTGTCAGAGTCATGATTATCGCACAAGGCCGGGTCACATACGAGGGGCAAAGATCCGCCTTCATCTCCTTCCACTGTCCAGGATGGCCCAGATTATAAATTAATATTTCAGTCTCTTCACACCTCGCGTCGTCAGTCCGTTTGCCAAGTCCATTGTCACAACTGAGAGAGGTCCTTCACTGTACAGGGCTTTGCATACAAACACTTGGTCAACATAAAGTTTCTGTTCTGTTTCTGTCCGTGGAGCGGCGGCTTTCCGGCCCGCTCCAGTTCTCAAGTGTTCCAGAGCAGCAGTGAACATCGAACACGATCTCCAGTCTCTTCTCAGCATTTGTAAACAATCCAGAATATTCGATTCTGCCTCGATTGTGTCCTTTTTTCCTCGTTCCTCTGCCTTCTGACCCCTCACAGCTTATACCTGGTGGACAAGAGGAGGGACAACTGGAGTTAAAATTGAATCAAAATCCGTATTTCCACTTTGTTAATATGCCCACATGGTATTCTTTACATGCTAGAGGATAAATCATGAGCTGAATAAGCAGTCGAGGCTGCAAATTTTCATCTTGAAAGTGCAAAGTAGAGAAAAAAAACATGGATTTTGATTTTTAGGGTTTCATGCACAACAAATCAAAGCTTTTTAGCTTGTAAGGTGGCACTTCCTGTATCGTTACTTCTGCTTTTAACATGTGCAGCTGAAGTAATTAGAGTTGTAGGTGAGCTGGTGTGCAGAGCTGCAGTGAGTGATGGAGGAGTGGGTGGAGATGGAGCCACTTTACACAGTCAGGGATTATTTTCATGGAAAAATACTTCTGAATATGTAACTTTAATACACAGAGGTGAGTTCTGAGAGGCTAAATATACAACCCAACAACCAGAGAGGGACTTTAGATCAAGTACAACTCCAAAAATAGTCCAAAAGTTAAAAAAAAGAGAGAAAGAAAAGAGGTCTCCTAAGTGTTTCCCCTTGAGCGGTTTGAGCTGTTACAGCTCACACGCTTCACCATCATATTTAACTTGGAAATAAACATCAGAAAAATTCCACAAAGCGGTAAAACATTGCACCTTTGAGACCGAGCAGAGCCAAACATGTGTGAGGAATCATTATAAGCTCAGGTCATCATATGGCCAAGATAAAGAACAGCCAGGATAATTTACAGAAAACCAATAATGCACATGACGGGGCCTTTCCCAGCTCAGTCCTTCCACAAACAGCATCATCTCCTGTCAGAAACGCTGCTGCAGCAATGAGGGGAAACACACTGGGGACCTGCTAATGCCTTTTGAATGGAGGATTTAGGGAAATGCTGATGAAGATGTGATCTTTTATTTTTTGGCTTACCTCAGTCGCTATGACGCACTCCCTCCTCTCCTCTGCTATAACGAATACCGACTGGTACATGGAGTCTCTGGAGGAACATATCGTAGATATCCTACACTCTGGCTTTTCACTGCAAAACACAAATCACACTTGGTGTTAATGCAAACGAGCAGCACACGGTGGAGCTGTGCATTAGGAGAGCTCACGCAGAGAGGCAGCAACTGTTTAATGCACATAAGCTCTGCAAACGGGAACAATGTCGGTTTCCAAGTCTGAGAATAGCAGCTGCAGGCTTCAAACACGCTCTTCTGTATGACTACAATAAATAGCAACAGACATTTCCTGGTAGTTACTGACTTAATCTGAGGGTGTGAGAGTGAAAGCTGTGGGTGGACTCACCTGTACATTCTACTCAAGGGCATTTTATCTTCTAAACACTTGTCGTAAATAAGACTTTTATCCTCTTGCGACTTTTCGTCCTTGAACTCTTTGGAGTTGTAAGAGTCCAAGTGATAGTTTTTATGGATAAAGTTTGATTTCTCCGTGTCGCAGTCCACCTCCAGGCTGACTTTCTGGTTGGTGTTTTTCAGCTGCGACGCCGGGATCAGGTTGTCCCTCTGAACGTTGGACAAGTTGTTCATAGTCTCCGACTCTCCCCGCTGCCTCTGGGCCTGCCGGTGGATGTGCCTCAGAGCCAGGCCCACCATGCACAGCAGCACCAGCAGCGCCACCAGCCCCACCGCCAGGGACACCGCCGCCCACTGGAAGCCGTCCTGACCGTCCACGCTCCCCTCCGTGGTGACGGTGGCGAAGAAGTCGCATCGGGGTCCGGTGAAGCCAAAGGGGCAGATGCAGGTGGCGGGAGGCTTCCCCGGCCCGCCGCCTCCGGTGCAGAGGCCCCCGTTGAGGCAGGGCCGCAGGGAGCACTCGTCCAGGATCCGGTCGCAGTTGCGGCCGCCGTAACCCGAAGGACAGGCGCAGGTGTAGTCGTTGATGCGGTCCTGGCAGGTGCCCCCGTTGAGGCAGGGGCTGCCGGCGCATTCGTTGATGTTGATTTCGCAGCGCTGGCCGGTAAATCCTGCGCGGCAGCTGCACATGCGCATGCCGCCGTGGATCAAACACAGGCCACCTAGGAGGAGAGGAGGAGGACAGTAAGCATCAACAAAATGTGGATTTTGAAAGAATCCAGAATGAGAAGCATTTCAACATCAAGGCGTTTCAAAATCAGAGCAACACGATCCCCTAAACCCTCCCACGAGGCCCTCTCGGTTCACACATCTCCATCAGATCCGCAGTCGACCGCAGCATTGTTCTGCCGGCGCGGAACAATCCCAGAACCCTCCGTGTTTACAAGAAGACAGAAACTGAACTGCGCTGGCTATTTGTCCCCTTTCATCAACAACCGCAGCGAGCTGTGGTGACATTTACAAGCTGCTGCTCTGAGCTGCCCAGTGTTTACACGGAGGACAATAGACACCAAGTTCCCACCAATTCCTGTTGTTCCACTCGGCTTCCAGTTGCAGGAATTTTGAGGTGGGGGGGAGACAGAGCGAGGGGAAGTTCAGAAAGCAGGGGGGGAAAGAGGGGAGGAAGACGCTACCATTAGCGCAGGGAAGCGACGTGCACTTGTCCACTCTCTTCTCGCAGTTGAGTCCGGTGTAGCTGCGGGGACACTCGCACATGTAGCTGCGGCCATTGTCCTTCTCCCAGCACTTGCCGCTGTGGAAGCAGGGCGAGTCGGCGCACGTCAGCAGGCTGTGCTCGCAGTGGGAGCCCTCGAAGCCCTGGGGACACGTGCACATGTAGCCGCTCTCCAGGTTCTTTGAGGGGGAACACAAAGAAAAATGAGTCAGCAAGTCACAGCCGAACACGCAGCAGAGATCAACAGGCAGCCGCAGGACGAGTCCAACTCACGGTGCAGATGCCTCCGTTCCTGCAGGGGTTGCTGTCGCACTCCTGCATCTCCAGCTCGCAGTTGACCCCGGTGAAGCCGGGCAGGCAGGTGCAGGTGTAGCTGCCCTGGCCGGTGTTCATGCAGGTGGCGCCGTTCACGCAGGGATGGTGGTGGGTGCAGAAGTTCAGGTCTGTGGGGGGAGACAGAGGGGAGTCAGGAAAGAAAAAAAGTTCAAAGGAAACCTAATTTACTAATGCTTTCAAGTTAATTCAAATGAAAACAGTGCGGCAGTAATATGAGAAGATGTTCAGAAAAGGAGCAGCCAGTTGTGTGGTGTACCTTGGTCACATAATAGGCCTCCCCAGCCCTCCTGGCAGTTGCACTGCCACGGCAGCTGGCAGGTGCCGTGCTTGCAGGCCGGGTACTTCTTACACTCGTCGCAGAAGGTGCCCTGCCAGCCGTCTCTGCAGCTGAAAAATGACAAAATATGCTCGATAAATATTCACTTTTCCCTCACACTGCAGTTAAAGCTGATTGATTCCAGCTCTGTTTACCAGCACAAATCTGTGTTTAACAGCTCCGTTATGGATTAACTGCCTGTTCATTTAAGTCAGCCATGGATCATGCGGCGCAGAATTAAAAGCTGCTGCATCACAGCAGGAGAAACCATTATTTTAATTGTTGTTTGTTATTTTTCTAGATTAACGGATTACTTATTCAGCCAGTAAAATGTCAGAAAACTGTGAACAATGTCGACCCCTGTTTCGCAAAGCCCAAGATGATAAATGTTTCGCCCAGAACCCAAAGATATCCAGTTTAACTGTCTCAGAGGAGGAAAGGAAACCAGAAAATATTCATATTTAAGAAGCTGGAATCTGAGAATTTAGACTTTTTTTTTTCTTTAAAAAATACTCAAATGATTAATTGATTAAAAACAGTTGCCGGTTAATGTAACGACTGTTTTTCTTCTTGTTTTCGCAACATTTTCTTGGTCTTGTAGGTATTTATTCACTGTATTCCCCTGAAATAATATGTATTTTTAAATGTTTCTCACCTCATTCTGAGTTGCACCATCACTGATGCTTTGGCAATAGTGTTTATCTGACATTCATGCCAATACGTTTTGCAATGTAGAACTGTTTCTCAGAAAACCTCCGATAAAATCTGCATAAAGTGTCTTTTCACAACCTTACTGCATCTTTGCAAATCATTTCTTAAAAAAATCAGCATTCTTGTATCGTGTATAATGAAGTAGTGACCGTCTACGCTGCAGAAGACGTGAATGCAGCAGCTACAGGATTAATGGAAGTCAGTGTCGAACGGATCAAGAAGGTTTAAAGATAAAACATGATATTATCATAATAGAAATGCAAAACACTGCTGTACTGATGTCTGACTGCAACCTGCATGTTCATTTCTGTCGCTCTCAATCAAAACAGAAGCAAAGATGGAGTCTGATGGCGTCAGGATGTAGCAAAGGCTCATGGGAGTTGTTGTCTTCACTGCTCCATCTCACTCAGGTAACGTAAAGTCATTTCTTTGTGCTAAACAGCTGCAAAATGCACCGTTATGTTCATCAGAATGACAGATTTCTTTGGGTCTGAACATTCGGAAACATTTGGGTTAACCTAAGTACACAAGTCTACATATATGTACATAACTTTGCTGCAGTTGTTTTTAGAGTTTTTAAAGCAGAAATGTTGCGTATAAAACCTATAAGGAACGTTTTTTCGAGCTGAGCGAGCAGAGACGTGGGAGCAGCTTCTCTGTTTGGTATCTAAAGGGTTCGTCCTCGATGTGGGTCAGTTTCAGCCGTTTGAATGATGAATTTGTGTCTGATAAAATTTCTCGCAGCGAGTGGGTGAGTGTGTGAATTATCCTCGAGACGGGAGGGAACAGAGAAGTCAGCGAGTCTCTTAATGAATCGTGTGGATGTAAGAAAAGCGGAATCTGTGGACTGCAGATGAACAGAATCTTGTAGGAGTTTGAGATGTTGAAAGTGAAGTTCAGGGAAAGGCAGCAAAGCTTTTCTCACTGTTTCTTTGTGCGTTTCTTCTTGCACATTTCCCAACACTTGATAATGAGGACTACTTACACACACTCTCCAGGTCTGGAGCAGTTTCCGTTCCTCTCGCTGCAGCCCTCCAGACAGATCGCTGCAGAAAAAGACAAACGCACAGTAAGTAAAACCCTGATGCAGTGTAAACTAGACATGATTCTCTGTCCCACCACAGACGATGGCAGGAACCAAAACCAACCAAGTACGTTGCACATAAACATAATGAAGGGCTGCATATTCATTCATGCATTCATTCATTTAACTCCTGACATGAAACCTTGTCTTGCAGTCGTTTTAAAATGTGTCATGACACAGTTTGTCCAGCAGAGCGGCTCCACTGGTCACAACAATGTGTGCAGCGCATGTAGCAGAGTCACAGCTGCTAAGTTGCTAACTATGTTTGCTAAAAGTCGGTCCTGGCATCGGCCCCCGTAGCGTGATATTATAGAATCGTGTGTCATTTCTACACTTTATAAGCTTTTCGCGTGTTGCTGCGCCGTTAAAATAACATTCAGGATGGCTACGGTTTGGCTAAAGCTTAATCAGCAACATTTAATCAGCAGCAACGATAAAACTCTACAATTAAACTAACAAAACTTTATGTGTGCACAATAACGAAGGTTCACTGTAAAAAAAAAAAAAAAAAACTTTTTTACCTGTAATTTTTAGAAAACAATTTAAAGTTATTTTACATTTTATCAGTTTTATTTAATTACAGATAATAGCTAGTAAAATACTATTTATTGACATGTAACCCCTTAAAGGATGTCACAAAAAAATTCTATTTTTACAAATGGTACTTCGTTTTTACAACAGCTATTTGTAAAATTATACTTTTTTTTCCACTTTAGTTAAATCAGCTAAAAAATATCACATTTTTTGAGATATTTGCTAAAATTCAGAAGAAAAACTGTTTATTAAAGATTTCAAAATGGTCACTTATTTTCAGATTTACTCTGTTTGGTTAAATTACAAATAATTTCTGGTGAAAACAATATTAATTTACATTAAAACTGTAAATGCACCAGGTCCACATTAAAAATGTGTTTTTTTTACAGTGTGTGACCATAAAATGAGTGTTTCTGTTTAAATCAGCTGAAGGAGGGACTATGTGCAGATATTTGTGGCTGTTTTCAGGATTTTTGCAGTTCTGAAAGGCTCCATATTCTACAGTTTGTTTTTTATTCTTATTTTTTCTCCCAGTGCGCATTCAGGAGGTGTGCTGCTCTTTTTGTGGCCCACTCAGCAGCAGCAGCACTGCTGCGTGCACGAGCCGGGCGGGCTGAGGAGCTCCAAGGCTACAGGAGGCCGCTTCATCTTGAAATAGCCTCTGAGCGCCTCTCTGCTGATGTACATGAGGCCTCGCAGCGTCTCAACTTTCCTGCAGCCTTCGGCGGCTCTAAACGCGTCCAGCTGTCCCGCGGTTTGTTTGTCCGTCCGGAGCTGCTGCATGGCGGCGGCTCTCCGGACGCATATCAGCGCTGTGACCGTCAGCGGCCGCTTTGGTCCGGAACAGATGCTCGCTCTCAATAGCAGCCAGCTGTCACTATTGTTGTTTGCGGTCCGCCGCCGCCATGTTTGCAGCTGCCACCGCCGCGCGCCCAACAATGGAGGAGGGAGGGGGGGTGAGGGGTGGGGTAGGAGGGAGGGGAGGGGGGGGGACATCGGTGGCGCGTGGCGGATAATAATACCGCGATTAACCTTGGCGCGTGCAGCCTCCCGCGCGCGCACACCTCCACCCCACCCCACCGGATTATGTTACCGGGAGGGAGGGAGGGTGCGGGCACGCGCAGCGACGTGTGAACGTGCAAGAAGTGCCGAGCCGCAGGTAAACGCTCACCTGTGTGACGTCATCACGCTCATTAGGCTAATTGGCTTCATTTGGGCCGAGGTTCAGCTCCAAACTCCTAAATGTGACTTTAATTCATTAAAGCTGAGCCGCTGCCACCAGGCCTGTGGCGTTCAAGGTCTCCGGACATCAGGACGTGAATTTAAAAGGATTTTACCTGTAAGTGTTTAAACAGTTCACTGTTATTTGACAGACTTCTCCTGTTTTGTTGAATTACAGACAGCAGCGAGTAAAATCTGAAAAAGTTTCATGTTGACTGTAAAAAATGAAAAAAAAAAAAAGACCCAAATTGTGCAAAATGTTCACAAAATCTTTTTTTTTTTTTTTTTGCATTTTTTCATAGTTACTTCCTTTTTACAAATATTTGCCAAATTATTACATTAAAAAATGTTTATTTTTGTACTTTCTTATAGTATTTCATTTTTTATGTGACCATAAATTTACACTCATTAATTATAATTATTTTAGAAATATTTTCTGTTATTTTTACGTTTTTTTGTTTGTTTGTTTTTGAATTCTCCAGTATTCCACTATTTTTTAAATATTTTTTTCCTGGCCCCTTGCTACTAGATTTTTCTTGTTTAAATAAGTTTTTTGTATGTTTTTTTTAATGTATGTTTATATTTTTCAGGCACATTTCTGCCAGATTTTTCATTTTTTTATGCACCAGTTTGTTTGTTTTTTTCCCCTTTTTTTGCGTCAATTTATGGTGAATATATTTTATTGTTTGTAAAGGAAAACTCAATGAGTCTAGGGTCATTTTTCCAAAGTCAACCCTTTGCTCGTGTCATGTTTTGTGGGGTGTAACCCTGCATCCCTCTGAAATCCACGTCTCTGCCTCCAGCCTTCCCAGATCTCGTCCCTCCTCGGCTCGAAGCTCGTTTGCGTTTATGCTCGTGAGCGTGTGACTGAGAGGACCAAGTGGAAATTATGGTGTCTGAAAGATGCTCAATCTATCTTTCTCATGTATATTTTCTGTAGTCACCGACGATTGATGCGTCTATAATTGCAACACGTGAGCCCATCTGGTTAGAATTTGGCGCCACAGTCAAAATAGCTACATGCCAATTTCTCTTTCACCGCCAAGTGACACGGATGACAGATCCGCCGTCACCCGTGTGGTCACATATCCAGCACATGGTAACTATTACTACTCTCACGGTGCCTCCTTCCAATCTACTCTTTGATTAATTTGTTTTGGTGAAAGGGGGCCCTTATTGGTATTGTGGCGCCAAATGGCACCGGGCCTCATTCAGAGCCGTCCAAATCATCGCGAGTGTGGGTCCACGATTTGGCCAAGTGGGTTTGCTCGAGTATAATGCGCCTGTTGTCATGCTAAGCTGTCTGTCCCCAAACCCACAACCAATTACACGTCAGGATTACTTGATTACAAACTATGTGAGGCTTTGAAAAATGCATTTTGCACCAAAATTGCTGATCAGACCTGCCAGACATCATCAAGCCTAGTTACAGTCTTCAACATCCTGCAACTTTAGCATCCTGCATCCTAATAAGAGCCGATATCTGACTTGTAAAAGCTGCACAATCCTTTCTTCACAGACATAAAGGGCTGCACCAGCAGAGCCTCAGACAACCAACAGCTGCTTTGAGGTAAGGACTCTCAACCCAATCACACAAGCTGACAGCAAAAACGCAAGTTTAAACACACACTGAGGCCACAAGCAGAGCAGAAAGAGAACCAGCCGGGGGTGAAAGTGCAGGTTTCTTACGTTCTTCGCAGTATTTCCCCTTCCAGCCGGGCAGGCAGGATAGCTGCCCATCTCTGGTGCAGGTGTAGTGGCCAAATCGGTCGTCCCTGGGCGTGCACTTTTTGGAGCAACTTTCCCCGTAGTAACTTTCGTTGCAGATGAACCGGTAGGAATACCTCAGCTCTGTTTGCTTCCCGGTCTGCGTGTCCTGAGACCAGTCGGTTCCGACACCCAGCTGTCTCTGGATGGCGAAAAAGCTAATCAGAAAGTCTGGGTTGCTGGTGTCTGGAAGGAGGAACAAAAACCAAAGAGGAAGTCAGGATTAATGCAAAAGATCATTCTGGTTTTATGGTCAAAAAGTGCATCGTAAACGGGTTCAAAAGGCGTCCACTTTCGCTTTAATAAGCCTTCCCCTGTACCAAGCTGCATCCCTTATCAAATCCCATACAGCTTAGATGAAAGATAAACTCAGGTTGAAATTTCCTCTTTTCTTTCCGTCAGCAAAAACATTCCCAGGCCCAGTCCCCTCTTCCAAAGGGCGGAACAGAGCAAGGTGTAAAATACAGGAAGATGTAGTCAGGGGTTTTTGGCAGGCGCTGCGTATTCTCACCAAAGCCCACAGCTCGTTCCCACGCCAAAAATAAACCAGAGGAAGTTCAATTGTATTGGGTATAAGAATGAAAAAGGTGTTCTGAAGTTCATAACAAAGGAATGAATAGGCGTGAAAATTGTCTGAAATTATGAACAATTAGCAGGAGGTGGAGGGAAAAAAGTGGAGCTGCGTTTAACAGCCTGAATTTTTTGCAGATTTTTCTTTTTTGAAAAATGCTTTGCAGAGTCTCCAGTGTTAAATGTACAGACAGAGCTCCCTCCTGTGGTTAGAAATGTTGCACTTACCTACAGGTAGATTTCCATAAGGTGAATGCCAGGCTTCAATTATTAATGAAAATGACCCCTGAGGAGGAAACACATGCAGTTAATTAATATAATCAGGACTTCAGGCTGCATTTTAAACAGAATTCTGTAATTTTGGGAGTGAGTCTTGCAGGTTTTCTGTTATGTTTTTTTAAAGAGGCTGCTGCTTGTAGAAAAAGGAGGAATTTTAATTTTGCATGAAGGAATATGTTACAGCATTTCACTGCATGGCCTTCTGGGTTTTTACATGAACGACGTCGCAGCAGCCCAATCTGTTTGTCTGCAGAGCATTACCTAATGATATGGATTAGATAAGCTGACCAATAACCGGTGCGCTCCCAAAATGCATAGCAGTCCCCCCTGAAAACAACATAACAGGCGGCGGGGGATGTGATAAAACAGATAAAAGTGGATGTGCAGCTCCACGCCCTTACCGGCCAGCCAAAGTTGAACGGTATCTGAATGGGTCTAGGTAAAGTGCCCCTGTCCTTGGCGCTGAAAGAGTTTGTCCCCAGCACTGGTGTCATTGTACTTCCAAAGATGCAGTCACCTGGCGAGACCACAGCCTGATAGTTCTTCAAGCAAATTCTGAAATAAGTCCTGCAGTTGGGTTTGCACGCGTTCCCGTTTGCCAGCAAACCTTTGTGATTTTTAAATTCGTGGAGATCAAGCTCAAAAACTCCGGATCCGAAAACCTACAAAGAGAAGGAAATATTATTTAAGAAAGCGTCGTGCGGGTACATTTATCTTACTCTGTGTGGGGGACAAAAAAATCTCCAATCTCCAAGTGCTTTCGCCGAGGTCTCAGGACCAGCGGGGAGATGGATATCCTCCCTCATACCTGTGATATCAACGTGGTGCTGAATGCGATGGTAAAGGTGAACCAGGCTGCCATCCTTCTCGTTTCTCCAGGGCAGCCGCGTCACCAGCCAACAACGCAGCTTCTTATTCCGAAGTATTTACACCGAGGTAAACAAAAGGTGCAGGAGAGAAAAAAAAATCTCTAAAACACAAATAAATCCTCCACTCCAGGGGAGTTCTCAGTAGCTCCTTGTTGCTGTGCGTCAAAAGCGTCCAGGGGAAGCGGTTTTCCAATCTCCCAAGTTTATCCAAAAGGTGAGGGAAGACCAATATCCACAGCCGTGCGTCTTTCTGTCAGCAGGCGTCCTCTCCTCGCATGGTACTGTACTCCACAACGTTCCCTCCGCTGAGTGTGTGCGACTCAGAGCTTGTTTTGGTGCTGAACTCGGTGCGTCAGTGCGCCACGGATGTTCATCACTCGTCTTATTACTAGTGAATGAACCGTGGTGTGTCTCCTCCCAGATATATAGACTCACACTGCGCTGCTCATTACATAAACTGTCACTCAGCCGCCTGGCACCGCCCACTTTACATATTCAACCCCCTTCCCTTCCACCCCAACAACAATTATCCAGATTTAATACCCACTGGCACTGACATGACTGACCACCATGGATACTGGGCGATTATTAACAAGCCCCAAACATCTGTTGGCTTATTTTTAGCGCACAATATGCCGGACGCACACGCACACATTACGCACGGTGAGAAAGGACAATGTAGGAGAGCAGAAACTTCGAGAATAGAAAGCAGAAATTCAATTACTGCCTTAACTCCGTGCACCCCTTTTTGCCCTTGGTTCCACTCAATTGCACGCCTAATTAGCCCTCAGTACAGCGTGGAGCTGCGCGCACTGTCCTCTCCGTGGGGTCATGTGCGCGCGTCTCCCCCGGGATGAAGCACAAACAATGAAAACAGAAATGCGATTAAAGGAAACATCTTTCCAGTTGTTTCAAATCCTGTTGATGCTGAATTTCACTTTTTGATTTTACTTTAAAAAAAAAAAAAAAAAAAATCCAATTAGAACCACACAAACGGTGCAAATATCTTAATGAGAACAACCTGAATCAACACACAAAATGCAGTTTTACGCACAGAAACAGGCCCAATGAAAATGCGTTTCCTTTTACGCACGGATGCGGGCCTGCGTCCTATCCAAGCTGGCGTTTTCTTTTCTTTTTTTCCAAACATGCTATTTTGGGTGTGTTTCATCTTGTTGGTGGCGTGTGCCCCTCCATGCCCACCCATGTATTTTACGGTTAATGGCAGCGTGCCTCCTATTGTTGCGACGCGTGTCCCTCTCTCGCCCTCATGCGGGTGTAATGTGCGGGACGGGAGACATAACTATTCAGCTGTATGCAAATGAGCCCTCTCTCTCTCTCTCTCTCTCTCTCTCTCTCCCTCTCTCTCTCTCCTACACACACACACACACACACACACACACACACACACACACGCTATCACCTGCATCCGTGAAACTGGTTTATTCCACTCGTGGCCTTTAAGAGCTGACAGGAATGACACCGGGTTCCCTGGATTGAGATAAAAGATTTAATTTGATGGACTGAATTTGACAACAGCGATGCTAATAAACTGACACCTTAAGGCTTAAGCTCATGTGGCGCTGAAAAATAACTTTACACACTCTTTAATATCAAAGAACGCTGATAAATCCGCACAAAGCATCTTAGATTAATGAATTCCCTTTTACGCACAAACGAATATCGTTATTTCACTTCAAAAGAGCCCCAAAAATGTACGAAAATGTCTGAATATTTGTCAAATAAGCGCCTTTTCCTCAGTGTTTTCCTCCACATACTCTGGTTGTTTTTGATCATCTGATTGGTTGTATTTGTTATTCGATCGCCCCGTGTCTCTCTCATTTACCATCTGGTGAGGAGACTGGCAGCCCGACGCACCGTTTTTCTATCGTCTGTTCACGGAGGGGACGAGCCAATTTTCTCCAACCGGTTCATCTAAATTCTGTTTGGCATCAGTTTGCAGAAAAGGAACTACAGTAATCATGTAATAACATTATTTCCTCTTGTTGTGAACACTGAGAATATCAAAAAAAAAAAAAAAAGAAAGAAAGAAAAAAAACAACAACTTCAAGAGGCTTCTAGAAAATATGATAATCAGGCACCAAAACACTGAATACTGTAATTAGTGTTGAGCTGATGAACTGTGCAAGTGTTTTTCTCTGTTAAAAATACTTTGAAACACAAATCTATCCAGTTTTCTCAGTTGCTTTGTCGACACTTGACTAATTCATGGTTTGATTTTTGATCCGTCTGATAAAATGTTTCCCCTTAAAGCACAGCAGCTCAAACAAACACATAAATATGAGCTTTAATGGACATTTATGTGAATAAAAGGCCAGAAACTTGGTGTAAAATCCACCGTCATGCCTCCCTCTCTGTGATTTTCCCCTGAACTCTGCACGCTCTCCGAGTGTTTGCACTCCATCTCTTGTTTTCGTGTGGTAGCTGTGCGCTGCCGAGAGTGAAAATGGAGAGCATCTATATTTATTCAGTGTTTATATGAGGCAGACACGGTGGATCGGCTGAATGCTTGTCATATTGACACACCTGTTGTGTCTCCAAAGGGCCCGCGGAGACACAATGGCATCGGCTCGCTCTCTCTCTTTCTTTCCTGTGTATGTGCTCTCCGATTCTGCTACTTGTTGACTTTGCAATGTTCATGATTCTTTGTGATTTAATGAGGTGATTAAAAACAGAATCTTTGTGCCGCCGCGCTCACGTGGTTGGATTCTGCTCTGGATGGTTGATTTAAGTCTGTTATTCCAGGTTTGCCAGTAATGGCTCCTAATCATGAGTATTAGCTCGCTTATCTCCTTTTATAGCCGTGTGTCTCCAGCTCAGCCGGCATGAAACCGCCATAAAAAGTGTGACAATTGTGCTTTATAACAGGTGAGCGCAGCTGATAACGCCAAACTCTGCTCGCTTTGGGGGAAACATGTATGTGCTTTTTCACACAGATGAATCCAACCCTGCAGATTTCTCATAACGCTGTCGGTGTCACGCGGTTCTTGCTTTTATTGCAGCACTAGACACATATTTACCTTCAAATGGCCCATTTAATGTTCAATATATGTTAAAGATGTATGAATATATGTAAATAACGTGGAGGAAACCGTAAAGCGCGCTTTGTAAAACTTAAAAACACATGTCGCACGATGTCTGCAGTCACGTACTTTTGCCGTCGAGGAGCTGAGGCCGAGTTAAGCTGCTGTCAACAAATGCTTTCTGCGGTTTTATTTATAACATGCCTCGCTGAAAAAACATTGTATTCTTGCACTCTTATGCAATGCCAGGCGGCAACTGGAGCCTGCAGCAAACCAACTGCTTTGGTGCGGCTCATACCGAAGCTATTTGGACCCGCTCTCCAAACCACAAGCTGGGACCCTGCATATATTAAGATGTTGCATCAAAGCTCTTTTGCTTTCCAGCAACACGAGGCCACCGACTGACCAGACTTCAGTTCAAGCGTTCGTCCAACAGCTTTGATGTCTGTGTGCGCGGCTGCAAGCTTGTATGTGGGTGTCATTGGAAGTTGAAGAAACGCACATAAGTCTCCTCTGCTTCCTCTCCGCGTCCCTCTGAGCTTCAGATTGTCCGTCAGATGCCCGTCCAGTTGTTTTGTGGGTTCGAGGGACGCTGCCGGAGAAAGCCACAGTTCCTGTTCTCACCATTCTGGCCGGCTTCTCGTGAATAAACTGTGATCCGACGAGGAAGTGTAAACAGGTTGATCGGTCAGAGAGCGGACACGAGAATATCTATTGTTGTGGGTGGAATGTGAAGAATGCCGTAATAAAAATGAAGCAGGACTGGCTGCCGTGACGTCAGCCCCCCGGTTTTATCTCAAACTTTTTATGAGTCATCTGAAAACAAAGACGGAAAGCTACTGTGGATGTGAAACGCATCTGTAATACAAGTTGAAATTAATGGCATGGAGTCCTGGATAAATATGCAGCGTCTCTGTTAGGATAAGTCAACCTTATTTATACTAGTGGAGCTCTAAATCACTGATTTGCTTTGAGGGGCTTCAGAGACTGTAAAACACGCAGCATTAGGCGGCTTTAGCCCGAATCTTCGTGGGTGTTCGGACCGCAGGGCTGTCGAACGTCTTTCGGGGTTGTTTTCATGGACGAACGGTGCCAGCTCCAGGGAAGATGTGCAGTTCTGATCGGTAAAGCTCGGAGAGGACAACAAGCCGTCTGCAAGGATCAGCGTTCTAGCCTCTAAAACTCATCATGTAGGCCAACACAACTCTCCATTGTTCTGTTTCCTACAAAGAACTGGAGTTACATCCAGTCACTAGTGTTCGTTGCACTTTTGGTGCATTTTGAGGTATCGTTGTGCTTCGACTTGTTGGATCTGCATCGCAACGGAAACAGAAAGACGTGGTCGCATCTTCGCCGAGTTCTGTCGATCCTTATAGTCTTGATTATGCCTCCACGGCACCAAACAGATCCATCCATCCATCATCTCTACACCTTAATCCTCACTAGGGTCATGGGGGGCGGAGCCTATCCCAGCTGACTTCTACGGACAATTTACAATCACCAATTAACCTCAGCATGTTTCTGGACTGTGGGAGGAAGCCGGAGAACCCGGAGAGAACCCACGCTGCACGGGGAGAACATGGAGACTCCACGCAGGAAGATCCCTCCTCTGATATCTGGTTAAAAACTGAACATTTTTCCAAGCAGCTAAATGCAACAGCAAAAGCAGCGTCACACCAGAATGTAAGTGTTTTAGTTTCATACGGTTGTTGGTTTGATCCCCTACATGTGTTAAAGTTGCAGATTGCCACCGCTGTTGTGTCAGCGGGTGAATAACAGACATCATAAAGCACTTTGCAGAACTTAATTAAGGTTAAAAGGCAGTTTGGGGCTTTTACCAGGTCAAGCTTCTTTTAATTTGTACATTAAAAATAGCAAAACAGTCCACATCAGGCGGCCAGAGGAGACATAAACCACAAGACTTTCACCCAGTAGACGTGCGGTTCTGTTGTTTTGTTGCTCTTTAAGTCACTGTCTTCTGTCATTTTTTGGATTTCGTTTGAGCTAAAGAGCTACTTGGTTAAATTCAGGCACCGAAACCACTTAGTGAGGTTTTAGGAAAAGCTCGTGGTTTGGTTGAAAACACGTCTGAGCAAACTGGAAAGTTCCAACCTCAAGAATAACAACAGAAGACACAAACATCTCACAATTTTACAACAAGTTTTTAATAAAATAATCCACCGAGGACCAGCGTAGCAAGAATACATGTTTTTTTGTGAGGCTGGGTCGAGACAAATTTGATCGCATTTAACGTTTCACACAAAATCCAGTAA